CCTACAGGCGAACCGAACCCGGCAGTCCCGATGGGATGGGGATGGCGGTGACTTGCAGGACTCTCAGGAGCCGGCGGCGACCGAGGGGCAGCAGGCACCTCCTTCCCACCGTCAAGAGATGCGTGGTGGTGACACCGGAAGCGACAAGGCTCACCGCGCCTTCGACAAGAACAACACCGCTGTTGCTAACTGCGAGTACTCCTCCTCTGGTACTGTCGCTCCCCCTTGTGATGCTTGTCACATCTGCCATCTACCTGGGCATTTCACTGTTAGATGTCCTCAGGCTTTCTGTGAGAGATGTAAGAAGAAAGGCCATCTGTCTTTTGTCTGCAATGAGTTCTTCCCTTGGGATCACACACCTGTGATGTGTGCCTTTCAAACTAAGGGTCAGGGTTTCTTTTACATTCCTGATTATAGCATGGATAGGCAGAGTAGGGAAAATATTTTCAATATTGTTGTCACCATTACTGATGGCTCTGCTTAGACCAAAGATATTGAGCACGAGTTGAGTGTGTACGTTGGTCAGGGATGGCGTTGCTCTGCTAGATTCTTTGCTCCACAAAAGTTTGTCATGAGGATGCCGAACCCTAGAGAGGTTGACAGAGCTCTTTTTGTTGAAAATATTAAGTTGAAAAGGTGTGGGGTTAGTGTCAAGTTTTCTCCTTGGTCTGAGGATATTGATTCTGCGGGACTGTTAGAGATTGCCTGGGTTAAGATTGGAAAAATTCCACCCAACAAGAGATGCGATAAAACTGTAGCTTATGTGGGAGGGCTAGTTGGGATTACCCTGGAAGTTGATATGTCAACTATAAATCATCCCTCTTCTGTCAGAGCTAAAATCGGCTGTAGACTGATAGCTCAACTTCCTACCACTGCTGAAGGGGTGCTTGCAGGACGCTTCTACAGGTTTACCTATGAGGTTGAGGAGGTTTTGGTCAAAAATCATGTGGATGCAGAAACTTTTGATCCTATTCCTGATGAAAGGACCAAGCCAGATCAAACTCCTAAGAGGAAATGTACTGAACAAGAGAAGGGGATGTCGCAGCCTGAGTCTGCTGGGCGTGGCAATATTGGGGGTTCCTATCGTGGTGGCAAGGCCTGTCGCCTGCTATATGATGATAAACAGGGATCTCCTTCTACTGAAAGTGATGGGGATAATTCTCTGCTTATTGAAACATTGCAGAGAAAAATTGAGGAGAAAATGAAGGAAGGTGACGTAGATTCTTCTAACTGGATTGTCCCCAGGAATCCTGTTGTCATGGAGAATGCTGCTCGAGATATTCAGGTGAACAAAGCCATACATAATAAATTTGCTTCACCCTGTCAGACCAATTCTAACCCTTATCATATTGTGGAGGTAACTGGTGAGGTGGACCCTGGGCTAAAGACTTCATGCAGCTATGTGGTACAACTCCCATCCTTTGAAAGCATTGAAGAGATCATTCTCACTCCTCCGCTAGCACCCGAAGCCCCACTGAGATTCAGCAAGCGTAACATCTCTGGAGTGCAGGACAAGGTGGAGGACAAGGCCAAGAAAATGGCTAGTAAGAAAAATCTGGAAGGTAATAATACTCCTGCTTTCAAAAATTCTTTTGATGTGCTTTCTGATAATGAGTTGATTAGCAGAGCTAATAAGATAGGGGTAGAAATACCCAATGATGATTCCGTTGTTGTTGACATTATTAGAGAGCTTGAATGCGCCCGAAAAGAATGAGAAGATAAAAAAGAAGATAATAATACTGAAAAAGAGCAGGATAACTTGATTGTGACAGATGGTTTGGGCAGAGAAACCCCTGTGAATTTAGAATGGTTAGACCAGGAAGAACATATTTATGAGCGTGTTTCTTCTGTTAAACCTAAGAAGAAAAAACATAGTAAATCTAATGTCAAAATTCCTAGGCCTGTGACTAGGAGTCAGAAAAGAAATAATGCTGAGAAATATTTGTTATGTAACCCTGCCCCGTCTACTGGTAGGGTTACTCGGGCCAAATTCCACAAAAAAACATTCCAAATGAGAGGGCTCATTTGGAACTGTTGAGGGGTGGGCAAGAAAGGGATGGCCACCTGCCTCTCAGACATGATTAGTGACCATTCCCTTGACTTCCTGGGTCTGCAAGAAACTATAAAGAAAGAGTTCACACCTAAGTGCTTGAGAAGAATTGATCCCTTTGACATATTCCAGTTGAATTGTGTGCCTTCTATGGGCAAATCTGGGGGCATTTTATGTGGTGTGAGGATAGATACTTTTGATATAGTATCCTGTGCTAAGGGCAAATATGTGTTGCAACTAGTGTTGTATGACAAAAAGAAAAAATACAGTGGGGTTTGCTGGTAGTTTATGGATCGGCACATGATGAGTTCAAAAATGAATTCCTGGTTGAGCTAGCATCCTTTTATAGTGGCATGACCGTGCCCTACATAGTGGGGGGAGACTTTAATATCTTGAGACATTCGGGAGAGAAGAATAAGAATATGGTGAACAACAAAGCCACTGGCCTATTTAACTCCATTATCAATACACTAGCTCTTAGGGAAATTCATATCAGTGAGGGGAAATATACCTGGACCAACAACCAGACTCATCCCACACTAGAAAAACTAGACCGAATCCTTATGTCTGAATGCTGGGAATAAATCTTCCCACTGGTCTCTGTGAGGAAATTAGTTCGGGAGATTTCTGATCATAACCCACTTCTGTTGTCCTCCGGGGAAGAGGGACGCGAAGCCCCGAAACCCCGTGAATTTCATTTTAATCTGTCCTGGATCAATGATGACAAGTTCCTGCCCACTGTGAGGAGAATATGGGCTAGGAATGTTGCTTCATCAGATCCAATTGATGTCCTGAATATCAAGCTGAAAAGATTCAAAATATATTTTAAAGGTTGGGGTTCGGATAAGTATGGTCACGATAAGAAAAGGAAAGAGGACTTACGTATGGAACTAGCTATGCTTGAGGAACTGGAAGAAGAAGATATGTTGCCTCCTGACTTATATAGTAGGAAAATGGATATCAACGCTGAGCTCTATGAGCTCCTGGTAAATGAGGAAATATTTTGGCTTCAACAGTCTCATGAGCGCTGGCTGCTCAAAGGAGACTTGAATACTGACTATTATCACAAGATTGCTAATGGGCGGAAACATAAAAATACAATCCAATCACTTAAAATGGGAGAAACATTGATTGAAGGCACGAACAATTTGATTGCACATGCCATTGAGTTTTACAAAGAACTGTTCGGACCAGCCCCTAGTAACCAGATTCATCTTGATCCGGGAACTTGGTCGCCTGAGGAGAAATTAGACAAAAATGATAATAAGGATCTTTGCCGAGAATTTACAGAACAGGAGGTCAAAGACGCTCTATTTGATATGGCCCCTAATAGAGCCCCTGGACCCGATAATATCCCTGCTAAGTTCTATCAGGTGTGATGGGATATAGTTAAAGATGACATTATGGCCCTTTTAAAGCCTTCCACCAGGGGACACTGGATGTTCAGAGACTTAATTTTGGAGTTATTACTCTGCTCCCTAAAGTTTCTGGAGCCGAGAAAAATCCAGCAATATAGGCCTATTTGCTTGTTGAGATGCCCATATAAGTTGATCACCAAAGTCCTTGACCGAAGAGTTGCTATATATGCAAACAAACTCATTAGCCCTACTAACGCATTTGTAAAAGGGAGAAATATCATGGACAGTGTCCAATCCCTCCATGAAATTCTTAACTACACTTATGTTAAGAAGAAAGTGGGAATTGTCCTTAAGTTGGACTTTGAAAAAGCCTATGATAAGGTGAATTGGGACTTTCTCCTAGAATGCCACAAGATGCGGGGCTTTGATAATACTTGGTGCGGATGGATTGAACAAATAGTGCATAATTGCATAGTTAGCATCAAGCTTAATGGTAGTGTTGGGCCGTATTTTCAAGGCAAAAAAGGGTAAGGCAGGGGGACCCACACTCTCCTTTCCTGTTCAATCTAGCAGTTGAATGCCTCACTAAAATGATCAAAAATGCACAAAAACAAACTTATTGTGGGCTTAGCTGCCGACCTTATTCCTGATGGGGTGGCGGTCCTGCAATATGCGGATGATACAATCATTTGTGTTGAAGATGATGTTGATAAGGTTGTCAACCTGAAGTTGCTGCTATATATGTTTGAAATGATGTCTGGCCTGAAAGTTAACTTTCAGAAAAGTGAGATTCTCACTATGGGTGGAGATGAAAGTGTGGTGAATAAATATGCAGAAATCTTTAACTGTGAGGTTGGCAGCTTCCCACTCAAATACTTGGGGATGCCTGTGAGCTATGCTAATCTAAAAACTTCCGATTGGGAGCTTATTGTTGGTAAAAATACCTAAAGAGGTTCGAGGCCTGGATCGGCAACGCTGCCTCAATGGGGGGGAGGCACACTCTGCTTGATTCTGTCGTCACACAGATCTCTCTCTACCACATGTCTATGTGGCTCATGAATAAAACTTTCATTGAGAGGCTAGATAAACACAGACGCATGTTCTTTTGGCAAGGTTGCAACAAAAAAAGGAGATACTATCTTGTTAAGTGGAGCAAAATATGTAGATCCAAAGACAAAGGGGGGTTAGGTATAAAATATCTTAGAAAGCAAAATATTAGTCTCATGGTTAAATGGTGGTGGAAGTTAGAGACACAAAACGGGCTATGGCAGGATATAGTCCGGGCCAGGTATCTTCGCAACACCTCTGTTGCTGAAGTTTCTCCCAAACTCTCCGACTCGCCCTGTTGGAAATCCTTGCTCAAGATTAAAAACATATATATGATGGGCAGAAAGATTGAAACTAGTGCTGGGAACTTGATTAGACTGTGGAAAGATCCAATAAATGGGCTGATCCCATTTCAGGATCAATATTTGCGCTTGTTTGAGATCTGCAATTACCCAATGAGTACCCTGGACAAAAGAGATAGACTTCATGATGCCTCTATGTTCAGACGTAGGCTTACCCCTGAGTTGTCCAAATAGTGGGAAGATATGCGTGTTGTAGTTAATAGAATTCCCCTTGATGAGAGGAGTGATCGTATCTTTTGGGGACTCAACCAGAATGGCAAGTTCACCACTAAGTCAGTGTATAAGATGTTGGAGAAACCTCTAAGTGGGTGCCATTATAGATGGATTTGGAAAACCAAGATCCCTCTTAAAATCAAAATCTTTCTATGGCAGATGTTGCAAGACGCAGTCCTTACTAGGCAAGTTATGAGCAAATGGAAATGGACAGGGAATCCCTGATGCTCTTTTTGCAAACATGTGGAAACGGTGCAACACCTGTTCTTTACTTCTCCTGTGGCCAGAATTGTCTGGCGATCTATTGGAGTAGTTCTTGGCACTGATAGATGTCCGTCGAACTACTGGCAATACTTCGTGTGGTGCCACGAATTCCTTCCTGGGAAGCAAAAGTTTTATACAGTGGGCTTAGCAGCCGTATGTTGGGCCATTTGGCTGGCACGCAATCGAGCTACTTTTGAAAAGAAACAAATCAAGACTCCTTTTGAGATTGTGTTTTCTCTATGCTCTTTTCTACTTTACTGGACAGGGCTACAACAAGGAAAGGACGCCAAGGAGCTTCGCACTGGAGCTGAGATGATCAGGACTGGCACAATGCAGCTGATGAAGATGTGTGGTGCTGCCAAGCAACCAATCCAAGGTGCTTGATGTTCTCTGAAGATGTGCTGGATGAGGAGATGACGGGCGCGCGATTTCGATACTGCTTCCCCCCGGAGAAGATTGTTTTCCGTCTACTTGGAATGCGACTGTGTTTTGATACTTGATCTGATCTTTTGAGAATGTAATAGGATAGATGTAATGTCATGCTATCCAGGCTTTCGCCCCATGATACTCATTTCGACGGCGAGCGGGTATGGTGGGTTTTCTGGTAGTGCTAGAACTCGCTATACCTCTTTCCCTCCTCCTGTCCTTCTCGCTTGAACTGGTTGTATTTCCGTTCTTTGCAATGGAAAGGGGTAAAGCCCGGTTCAAAAAAATCAGTTTGTTGAGAGGAACGATCAGTTTCTCAAGTACCGACTAATCTTTGACAGACGACGCACCTATCACGACGCTCTCCCTGCTCCTACTTTTTTTGACTTTCAGGCAAAGGGGAGATATGTTATAACTAGGGAGGAGGCGACCGAGTACGAGAGGAGGGCAGGGACAGCTCGCCTCCAAGCTGCAGCTCATCAGGCAATTGCCGCTGCATCTCAGTATGACCCCAGCTACAACTTTGGATATCCGCCAGGCCAGCCGTGGCCATAGACTAACTTAGGCCAAAAGCCTAAGCTTGGGGGGTATGTATTTCTCACCGACATTACATTCATGTTCACACACTCATGCTAGTTGTCGGTGCTCATACTTTTTCACTGTAATATCCATGCTAGTTTATTTTCCTTTTTATGCTTTCTTCTTGTGTGTTTAATAAACCTTAATAAAAAACAAAAAAAATTAGTTGTCGCTTTTTAGCTAGTTTACTTTCCATGAATGTAGTGGTAGTAATTAAAAAGAAAACCTAAAAAGATTTCTTGTTCTTCTTTTGCTTGTTGGGAGCTTTCCCGTGTAAATAGTTTTACTTCTTTTCTTTTCTTTGGGGCTCGATAGGAGAAGACCATGATTAAAATGTTGAGTGGCTCTCATATACATTATTGTTGATCTAACCAAGAGCCCATATTACTTTGTCTTCTCTCTTGAATTGAATGCTTGCAGATTCCGGCTTAGTCCAATTCACGTGCACTATTATTATTATCCACACTATTCAGACGTGCAAGTGAATAGCAATAATGATGATCATATGATGAACTTATTGAGATGAGAAAAGATGGTATGAACCCGACCTCTCTTGTTTTTGTAAATATGATTAGTTCATCGTTCCTGATTCAGCCTATTATGAATAAACATGTTTGCAATGACAATTAGAGATTATAGTTGCTTCTGCCATGCTTAATTAGCTAGGAGCTTATAATGGTTTACCTTGCGTGCCAACATGCTATTAAAATGGTTGTGATGTGGTATGATAGGGTGGTATCCTCTTTTCAATGATTCGAGTGGCTTGACTTGGCACATGTTCACGCATGTAGTTGAAACAAAATCAACATAGCCTCTATGATATTTATGTTCATGGTGCATTATATTCTACTCATGCTTGCATTCGGTGTTGATTAATTTTAATGCATGTTCATGGCTGTTGTCGCTCTCTAGCTGGTCGCTTCCCAGTCTTTTTTCTAGCCTTCACTTGTACTAAGCGGGAATACTGCTTGTGCATCCAACTCCATAAACCCCAAAGTTATTCCATATGAGTCCACCATACCTACCTATATACGGTATCTACCTACCGTTCCAAGTAAATTTGTATGTGCCAAACTCTAAACCTTCAAATAAACATTCTGTTTTGTATGCTCGAATAGCTCATGTATCAACTAGGGCTGTCTGTATCTTCCATGTTAGGCAGGTTATTCTCAAGAGTGGACTCCGCTCCTCACTCATGAGAAAGTGGCTGGTCACCGGGATGCCCAGTCCCATGCTTTATGCAAATCAAATCAAAATAACTGCAAACAAAACTCCCCCGGAACTCTTGTTAGTTGGAGGCACTCATTGTTTCGAGCAAGCCATGGATTGATGCTTGTTGGTGGAGGGGGGTATAAACTTTACCATTCTATTTGGGAACCGCCTATAATGTGTGTAGCATGGAAGATATCGAGATCTCTTGGTTGTTATGTTGACAATGAAAGTATACCGCTCAAAATATTATTCAGATCTATTTCAAAACCGAGCTCTCGCACCTCTACAAATCCCTGCTTCCCTCTGCGAAGGGCCTATCCCTTTACTTTTATGTTGAGTCATCATCCTCTTATTAAAAAGCACCAGTTGGAGAGCACCGCTGTCATTTGCATCCATTACTGTTAGTTAACATTGAGTATAACTTGACTGGATCTCTTTTGCCATGAATTACAATGTCTAGTCAGTCCTTGATCTTTAAAGGTGCTCTGCATTTATGTTTTGCAGTCTCAGAAAGGGCTAGCGAGATACCATCTTGTTATATCATATCATGATTGTTTTGAGGAAGTGTTGTCATCCCAGATTTATTATTATTGCTCGCTAGTTGATTATGTCATTGATATGAGTAAACATGAAATCTAAATGTTATTGTGAATATGGTTAGTTCATAATCTTTGCTGAAAACCTAAATGTTGGCTTCACATATTTACAACAACAAGAGCAAACAGAGTTTGTAAAAGTTTTTCTTTATCACTTTCAGTGTATCAGCTGAATTGCTTGAGGACAAGCAAAGGTTTAAGCTTGGGGGAGTTGATACGTCTCCATCGTATCTACTTTTCCAAACACTTTTGCCCTTGTTTTGGACTCTAACTTGCATGATTTGAATGGAACTAACCCGGACTGACGTCGTTTTCAGCAGAATTGCCATGGTGTTATTTCTGTGCAGAAATAGAAGTTCTCGAACTGACCTGAAAATCAACGGAGAATTATTTTGGAATATATAAAAATACTGGAAGGAAGATCCACGTCAGGGGGGCCTCCACCTGTCCACGAGGGTGGGGGCGCCCCCCCCCCTCCCCCCGCGCGCCTCGTGAGCCCCCTGGTGCTCCACCGACCTCAACCCTGACTCCATATATTCACTTTCGGGGAGGAAAAACCAAGGAGAAGGAATCATCGCGTTTTACGATACGGAGCCGCCGCCAAGCCCTAAACTCTCTTGGGAGGGCTGATCTGGAGTCCGTTCGGGGCTCCGGAGAGGGGAATCCGTCGCCATTGTCATCATCAACCTTCCTCCATCACCAATTTCATGATGCTCACCGCCGTGTGTGAGTAATTCCATCGTAGACTTGCTGGACGGTGATGGGTTGGATGAGATTTATCATGTAATCGAGTTAGTTTTGTTAGGGTTTGATCCCTAGTATCCAGAGATTGATGTTCCTATGACTTTTCTATGCTTAATGCTTGTCACTAGGGCCCGAGTGCCATGATTTCAGATCTGAACCTATTATGTTTTCATCAATATATGGGAGTTCTTGATCCTATCTTGCAAGTCTATAGTCACCTACTATGTGTTATGATCCGGCAACCCCGAAGTGATAATAGTCGGGACCACTCCCGGTGATGACCGTAGTTTGAGGAGTTCATGTATTCACTATGTGTTAATGCTTTGGTTCGGTACTCTATTAAAAGGAGGCCTTAATATCCCTTAGTTTCCAATAGGACCCTGCTGCCACGGGAGGGTAGGACAAAAGATGCCATGCAAGTTCTTTTCCATAAGCATGTATGAATATATTTGGAATACATGCCTACATTACATTGATGAACTGGAGCTAGTTCTGTGTCACCCTAGGTTATGACTGTTACATGATCGATCGCATCCAGCATAATTCTCCATCAATGATCCATTGCCTACGAGCTTTCCATATATTGTTTTTCGCTTATTTACTTTTCCGCTGCTATTGTTACAATCACTATAAAACACAAAAAATATTACTTTTGCTACCGTTACCTTTTACCACCATTACCACTACTATCATATTACTTTGCTACTAAATACCTTGCTACAGATATTAAGTTTCCAGGTCAGGTTGAATTGACAACTCAGCTGCTAATACTTGAGAATATTCTTTGGCCCCCCTTGCGTCGAATCAATAAATTTGGGTTGAATACTCTACCCTCGAAAACTGTTGCGATCCCCTATACGTGTGGGTTATCAACCAACCGCCCAGCCACCGCTCAACCACCGCATTGAAACAGTAGGGAGTCACCCCCTGAGTGCGGTAGTCGTGCGGTACAGGACCGGTGCAACCGCTTGGCCTTGGGCGGCTAAGTCCTGAGCGGTAGAACCGCTCAGGGCACCGGTGGTACCGGTTAGCATGGAACGACCGGACCAACCGAGCCACCACCGCCCGAGTACCGCATCAAAACAGAGGTTGGACCAGTAGTTGGGTGGTGCTCGGCCGGAACAACCACCGCAGTCTTTGTTGAGCATGGTGGCAGTACCACCGCCCGGGAGCAGCAGTACAACCGTTCGATCAAGACTGGGTAAGCGCCAAGAGCCAGCGGTACAACCGCTCCAGCAAGCGGTACAGCTGCTAGGAAACCACATCAAGTAGAAAGATAAGAAGGGATGCACTCTCTCTTAAAACTAAGGAAGCAAGAGAGGGGTGAGGCATGTGTATGTGAAAAGATTCCCCAACTCCTTCCAATGTGGATTCCCTCTTGATAGTACGGGTTTCCTACGACCA